TAGAAACTAAAACGAAATGATTTGACATCTCCAAATCAAAATGTTTCATTTCAACTTGGTTCAGCCTTAACCTGAGATGCCACAGTGACTCATGGGAGCTGAATTTATGTGTCTTATACCTCCATTTCCTGATGTGGGCCAGGCTCCCTGGTCATACTACATCACCCATGATGCACCATGGTCACGTGAGTTCCATGAGGCATGGTGTTGGTTTAACCAGAGGGGAGACCGTGGTGTGTCATAGAGGTGTAGTCTAGCCATGGAACCCACCCCATAGAGAAGAATGGGGGTATGAGGCATCCAAAGTACAACTCCCATGAGGTGCTGTGGCAGCCGAAGCATACCCAAAGTAAAGTCATACTGACTGAAAACAACCTGAAATGAAATATTTAGTTTAGATTTTCCTGATGGAAAATTGACACATTATTTTCAAAATAATTCCCGCCGAAAATTTTGATTTTGCAGAAACTGCATTTTCTGTCAAAAAAAAATATTTCGACAGAAAATTCCTGACTAGCTCCAATATTAAGCTCTGTACAAAAAGCATCTCTATATAGCAGATATGTTCAGATGCAATAGAACCTCAATTACAGAATATAATATTTTAACCTGTCAAACTAAGCAAATTCTTGACAGGTTTCCTAGCCTAGTGTCGAAAATATGAAATAGGTAATTGCAAAAAATGTCAGGGTTAATTCTCCAAACAAACTGGAGCTCTAGAAGCAAAGAGTCCTCGAACTGTCAGAGGTCTCTATGTGCATTCTGGTGAATTAGATGTGAATTAATCTGACTATAATAATTGTCAGAGCCTCAAAACCTTTGGGGATTTGATAAACATACAGAAGCTTGGATGCTTATCCAAACCTGTATGCCTGAGTATATCACTCTTTCTTCTTTGAGTGCTAGTCCCTATGTGTATTCCACTGTGGGTATGCATGTGCTCCATGCACCTGAGACCAGAGAATTCTTGTAAGTCTCTTGTTCCAGGACAGCACCCCTGCCCTCCTTGGGCTTCACACCAAGAGCATAAGGGGCAGGGCAGACCAACCACCTCTCCAGTTCCTTCTTACTGCTGCATGGCCTGGGTTGGAATCCTCCAGTGTCCAGAGCTGATCGTTCTCTTCTCCTGTAAATATTCAAGTTATGCTGTTCTCAGGGTTTTTTAATTGTTAGTTAGTGTTTTATAGCTCCCCAGTTACCCAGCGTTAGAATCCCCACCCTGGGAACTCTCCTACTCATTTGGCGGGGTACTTAGATTTTGCTCAACATATCGGACTTCAAAAACTGTGTCTCCTGCCCCCACTCCTGTTCAGTTAGCAAGAGCCACCAGGGTTCCCTCTGCTGCCTCAGAGATGCTCAAATCTCTGCTAAGTGCAGTACCTGCCACTCTTTTCCCAACCAAACGGGGCAAACACGAGAACTTCAGCTTTGGAAGCACCTTATACATTGGCCAGGGTCAGCAAGAAGCACTCTCTTGAGTACTATGTCTGACTCCAGAGTGGAGACAGGAGTGGGAAGGACCCTTTGGTTGGGCCTCCTTATGAGAGTAAGGGGCACTCTCACAGATGTCAAAGCAGATCCACTTCTAGACCCTCAAAGAGGAGAGATCCCTCCCCAACCTTCTACAAGTCAGGTGAGCCTTCATGCTCAATTCATAACATCTGAGGCCCTCCTAAAACTTAATGGCATCTTCAAAAGACTGATAGGAGCAAGATTTCTTCTGTATCAGCATCTGCATCAACTTGGACACTGACTGTGGTGCCACCTAAAACGAAGCACTGGGACAAGAAGGACAAGGAACCACCGGTACTGTCGAAAACTCCACGGACGGAGACTCAATCACCGGTGGTACCATCATGGCCACATAAGGAACCGCCATCTATACCTACTAAGGTGGCACAGAGTGACAAGACACAGCCTCCAACGGTGCAGGTGATTTATACCACTCTGGACTATATCTTTGACCTCCCAGATCTACAATTTCCCTTGTTATCAGGACTGATCCTCATCAGAGAGATACAAATGCCTTTGGGAATCCAGGACTCTGGAAGAAGTCTATCCCCCACCCAGTTCACTAGCCCTGGTTTCCTGTCCACGGATCTGTTGGCACTGCCAGTGGACCCAGATCCAACCTTTGCATCTTTGGGAATATTGCTTGTTAGTCACTCACAGTGGCATACACATAGCAACTAGCACTCAAAGAAGAAAGAGAATTTACTTGCCTTGTTATAATTGGAATTCGCTGAGATACGTGGTCCCCATCTGTGTTCCGCTACTAGCTCTCCTTCCCCTCTGCTTCAATCATGACTAGATTTGCAATAGAAAAGGAACAAGGGAGGCAGTCTACCCTGCCCCTTACACCCTCAGAGTGGCGCTTGAAGCGAGCAGGGGCACAGACATGGACTAACAGTTGCTAATTGAAAGAATTCTCCAGTCTCAGGCACATGGAGTGCATGCGTAACCACCATGGAATACAGATAGGGACCACACATCTCAAAGAACTCCAGTTACAGCAAGGTAAATAACTTCCTTTTATTGTGACACATTGAAGTTGTTACATCACCCTGAATCCAAGGAAGACAATAAAATCTCTTTACACAGCTAGTAACTCTACTTGGTTCTGTGTAATTCACCATGATTTCTAACATTAGTCAATTATATCTTTCTGTGACAGGCCAACATGATAGTTCTTTTTTGAAGTTTTTTTTATTTATTTGGGAGGAAAAAGAATAAACAGACAATAAAAGGCTGAGACGCATGTAATGAAATCCTTTCTTTGGCTAAGGAAGCAAACTGAATTTTCCCGCCGCCTATGTAGCATAAATGATAACACATGCCATATATTAGAGTAATTCACCCATTACAGAAACCATACATTAAGGAGAATCTTCCTGCATGTGAAGAGTGGGGAAAGCATGTGATCAGCTCCATTAAATATTTTGAAAAATCAGCTAATTTATGAAGTTGTTTTATTTCTTAAGAGTTAGCTTAAAATATTCTTTCCAAACACTAATGAAGATGAACTCTCAGCTCTTATTGTGGCTTGAAGGTTAATACAAACATTATATTTGTGCTTAAACATATTAATTATTGAGGGTGTTCTGTTTTAATCAGATCAGCCCTTTGACGCCAGAAGATAGCAATGCTGATAGAAGAGGGAATATGGTCTAGTGATGAAAATAAAGGGCAAGGAGTCAAATCGAAGCTCTTTTCCCAGTACTGGCATAAAGCACACTATGTGGTCTTGGTTAGCTCATAGAGGATCTGACCCAAGCCCATTTGAAATCAATAGGAGTCTTTCTATTTATGTCAGTGGGCTTTGGATCACACCCAAAAACTTTGTTCCTCAGTTTACTTATCTATCAAATTGATATAATTACCCATTGCATGGGAGTATTGTGAGGCTTAAGTCATTAATGTTTGGAAAACATCTATGAGATATTTGGGTGGAAAGTGGTATGGGGTGCAAAGTACTATTATTACTGGTTACAAGTGTAGTCTTCCATATGTGCTCCCTCTCTCTCCAACACAAGCACACCTACACAGGAATTCTTATCTGTACATGCCGTCCCCCAATCCCTAGTATTATCCCTTGTTTCACCTGCAAGTGCCTTAACCAGACTCCTCCACCCATCTGCAGAACCCTCTTGCTATCTCTCTTTGGCAAGTTCTCATCTTCCCTGTAATTTTCCTAGCCAGCTCACACACCCTCTTTCTTTTCCAGTCATGACAAATGACAAGACACCAACTTGTCATCTGTTTAGACTGTAAGCAGTTTGCGGCAGCAACTGTCTCTATTTTGTCTTGTATGGCATCAAGCACGTTGTTGGTTCTTACCAAATAATAAATACTAATAACAAAGTGACCCTTTCCCTCAGGGCCACCTAACAAAGGCCACGAATGCTTGGTTCCTACTGTCATCTGCAAATTCATAGATGCATAGAATTTAAGGTCAGAAAGGACCATCATGATCACGACCTCCTGCACATCGCAAGCCATAGAACCTCACGCATCCATTCCTGTAGTAGATCTTAACCTCAGGCTGAGTTAGTGAAGTCTTCAAATCATGGTTTAAAGCAGGGGTAGACAACCTACGGCACACGTGCCAAAGGCGCACGCTGATTTTCAGTGGCACTCACACTGCCCGGGTCCTGGCCACCGGTCCAGGGGCTCTGCATTTTAATTTAATTTTAAATGAAGCTTCTTAAACATTTTAAAAACCTTATTTACTTTACATACAACAATAGTTTAGTTATATATTATAGACTTATAGAAAGAGACCTTCTAAAAACGTTAAAATGTATTACTGGCACGCGAAACCTTAAATTAGGGTGAATAAATGAAGACTCGGCACACCACTTCTGAAAGGTTGCCAACCCCTGGTTTAAAGACTTCAAGTTACAGAGAATCCACCATTTACTCTAGTTTAAACCAGCAAGTGACCAATGCCCCATGCTGCAGAGGAAGGCGAAAACCCCAGGGTCTCTGCTAATCTCACCCAGGGGAAAATTCCTTCCTGACCCCAAATATGGCAATCTGTTAAACCCTGAGCATGTGGGCAAGATCCACCAGGCAGATACCTGGGAAAGAATTCTCTGTAATAACTCAGAGCTCTCCCCATCTAATGTCCCATCACCAGCCACTTGAAACTGTCTGCAAACCTACACACTGCCTCCCCAGAAAACCCTCTGGCCCAGCCTGGAAGAGCAGCCAATTCCCAGGTGCACACCTCGCTTGAAATTTTGTGCCATTCTGTAGCTAAAGGGTGCATTTTGTATAGACCCTGGGTCATAATAATTAAAAATGGCAAAGACTTAGTAGGACATAGATATAATCAGCAGGAGCAGCTGCTGCATCCTCAAGTATATCACTCCCTGCCAGTGTGGCACATAGTTCTCCTGACAGAGGACATGCTAAAGAAGTGTGTGATCCTGCACTTGGACCTGACTGCTGCTATGGGATGTTATATCATTGATTGTTCTCTATCATTGTTCTTGTAGAAACTATATAGGAAAGAAATCAAGCCACCTTTTAAACCTGCGGTGGGACGGCCAGAAGACACGTTTCATTTTGACCCGGAGTTCACATCACGGACCCCTACAGGTTAGCATCAATCATGAGATGGAACAGAAGTGATGGATATTTTCAGTTAATAGCTCCACCCCCACTGAAGTCTATAGGCCTGATCTTTTATGGAATCAGTGGGCCTTGTCGGGTCAAGCCAGCAGGAAGCTGTGAGTGCTCAGCATTTCTCAGGAACAAGCCCATAGTTACTTCTCCAACTTGTCATTGGGTATGTCATCCAGAAAGGAAAGGTGCCTGATATTACCGAAACTAAAGAAAAAATGCAGTTTTTATTGTTTGATTTTTTATTTTTATTTTTTTGGTTAGGTTAAATAATTGTAACTGTTTTAAATGACAACAATTTCAAAGGATTTGGCCGCTGTGCAAGTTAGTATGTAACTGTGTTACACTTCTGTCTGATTTAATTGTGAAATGCCCTAGAACACTCTGACCAGTGGAACTTGATGAATGGTAAGCCTGATGGAGAGGCAAATTCTCTGCTGGCAAAACTCCAGTGAAGCCAGTGGATTTATGCCTGCAGAGAATTTGGCTCATAACATCCAACTGGTTAATGACCAATAAATGCTCCAGATGGGACTGTTGTTCCTATTTTTATTCATAATTTCCACTTCAGACTAGCGATAACATATGCCGGGCAGTTGTTACCCTTGTGGGTCAGTCTTTTGAACAGACAACAGTGGTACCAGTAACCTCCTAAGCACTAATCCCAGCTGCAACACTGACTCTCTGTGACCCTGGACAAATCATTTAACCACTCTGCCACAGTTTCCCCATCTGCAAAATGGACACAATAATACTTAACTATGTGCCCCACCAGTGCAAAGAGTTACTTTTTATTGTTTGTAAAGCCCTTTGAAGATGGTAAGTGCTATAGATAATGTTAAGTATTAGAATAAAATTGCAGCCTCTGGCTTCAAGCTTCAACCCCCAGCTTGTCTCAGAATTATAAGAAATGAGTGAATCAGTTCTGATAAGAATAAAACCACTAGAGATGGGTCATGGCACTTGGACCCAAAGCTGAACTTTCCCATAGTTTTGGTTCAGGCTGATTGTGGTTTTCCCTAAGGCCTCGCTCTTAAAAATAATTCAGACCTTCACCCAAAGCTTGACTCAAACTTTTCACGGTGTGAAAAACGCTTGTAACACTTTATTTTGATCACCCCTTTACACTTTCTAATTTTTTGCTACAGTCAGGCTCTTGAGGGCTGTTGCAGGCACAGGGAGAGCTGCATCCCCTGTAGGGTACCAGACATTTTTACACCACTATTTGTACATTTAATTCCGATCTCTTTGGAATCTGGAGGCACATCTGTGAAATGCTGGAAACTTCACAAGCTAGTCTGTTCTTGTGAGATTTCTGGTCTGGCCGTTAGTTTGAAGAAAGTGAGAGACACATTTAGACATCTAAATGCGTTTGGAGTTCACACTGTGCCAGTTTTATTGGCATGAAAACCACTGTCTGCACGAGTGTGCTGATGAACAGAATTACATAGTTAATACTACATATGTTTCTTTTCACAGGTATTTTCTGATCATTAACTGTCAGATTCAATTTGATATTTTGTGCAAAACAGACATACATGGGGACTCTTTTTTAAATTATTTGGCCTGAGCCCCATTTACATTAAGACCCTCTTCCACTGCCAGGGCACAAGTGATTACAGCACAGGAAGGCATACCAATGCTGGCTTTAATCTATCTAGCACAGGTAACAATAGTAGTGAAGTCAATGGCAGCACAGACTTCAGCATGGGCCAGCTGCCCCGGTACAGTCCCGCCAGGGAACCTGGGTACATACTCAAGTTGCTAGCCCATGCTGAAGCCTGTGCTGCCACATCTTCACTATTCTTGTTACCTTCGGTAGCTAGATTAAAGCTAGTGCAGGTATGCCTACACACACTACAGTCGCACCTTCACTTGCAGAGTAGATGTCTAAATAAGAATCAGGCCCAATAATTTTAAAATGGGTGTAAATGTGATCTGTTGCCACTTTAAGACCCCCTCCCCTTACACTTCCAGAGCAGTGTAAAGGGGCCGCCATATAAATAAAAATCAGGCCCATCTACAGTAGTCCTTGTCCCAGCACCATATCTTTGCTAACAAATAGTTTTCCATTGAAATAATTTATTTTGTTAAGAAAAAGAAAAGGAAACAGTGAACAATCCCATGGTTCCCGTACATCCTATGGGTCTGTTGAAACTGTAAACCAATTAAGCTTCTCCGTTGTGGTTTATTATGTTTATTATGAAGCTTCTGTGTTGTGGGTCATTATGTCACCCTTTTTCTGTAATGTAATTTTTGCCTTCTATTCACAATTAATCATAATAACTGTATCTTAATTTAATATGATTGATTATGTTCTAGCAGTAAGTGGAATTATATTACAGAAGCCTAGTATTTGTATCAGTTACTGTTCAAATTTGTAGTTTCTTGTCATTGATATATATCCATTAGGATCCAGGTTATTCCCTACAATAAAGTGGTGTCTACTTGCTACCTTCCTGCAGCATAAATATATAATTTGTCCTAAATGTTTTGTGGACATCAAAAATACTTGGACAAGTGTGATTTTGTGGTAATGGATTTTTGCTGGATAAGTGATTTGTGCAATAGGAGGTTGCTTAGAATTAAAGAGTTTCAGATAAATATTTGTGTATGTGAATTTAAAAAGTATAATAAGCATTAGGTATTGTCTGCTTAAATGCAATAGGGTAGGCCAGGAGTAGTCAATAGGCAGACCGTGGGCCAAATCTGTACCCCCAGATGCTTTTGAATGGACCCCCAAATTTTTTTATTTACTTATTATCATTATTTTTTTATTATTTTCTCTGAAGTCTGAACCTTGGCTATACCTTGACCAAGAAATTTGGACCTTGACAAAAAATAATTGACTACCCCTGGGGTGGGCTTTGAAGAGTGCCACTTTCTAAGAACCTATATAATAAAATTATATTACAGAGTTCTTCAAGTGCTGCACTGTGTGAATTCATACGTCAATGATGAAATGAAAAAACAATGTAGTGAAGGTTGGACAGGGCCCGCCTCCATTATACTTGTGTCCACCCAATGTTTAGGTGAATTCTTTGCTTTTATGAACACTCTGATCCCCAGATTAATGTGAATGATCTACTGCAGCATACTGTGGTGTCTGATAAAGAACCAGCTGGCTGTGTACCTACTGCAGGTATTAGGAGGGGAAGGCGTAGGCCCACTCAAAACTAAAGGCCCACCCCCTGAGCCAAGGTGGAGGAACCACAAAGCCCAGACCACAACTTAGTTCGAGGGACAAAAAAGGAGAATGCAGGGACAGGAGTCAAGCTCATAGGGCCAAAATGAGGGATCCAGAGGGGGACATCAAGCAGAGAATAGCATCCACCACTCCTCCAAGGAATACAAGGAGCCAGTGAACATCACTCAGAGACGTGAAGCAACAAGAGAATGGAAACAGGCCCCACAGTCTTAGAGCAGCCTCTCTACACCCCACCCTGATCAAACTTCTTCCTCCTGGTCTGCTGGATGGCCATTTTGGCCAGCACCAGGAGGAGAGGTTGACAAGGAGGTCTCACGATTTTGCTGGGCCATGGATGAGGTGTGCAAATACAAGGAGGTGTAGGAGAAAGTGCAGCCAGAACCTCTGGAGGAGGCAGAAAAAAGGGGCTGCAGCCTGACAAACGCTACATAAATGTGTGCCAGGGTCTCCCTCTCGCTGCTTGGCTGTGTAGATCTACACTTGGAGGAGTAAATTATACAGAAACTGTCATAATCATAGGAGCACATTGTATGTCTAATGGGGTCAAACAGGCGCATGTTTTATTGTTTCCTTTCTGTCATGATTCGGACCTGAGAATTATCCACCCTGTCACTAATGACAAACTCAAACAGACAGTGCTGTAAAGATGGCCTATATCTTGGTCATGATAATTCTGTTGCTGAGTTTTATTGAGGCTGCCAGAGAGAAATAAAAACAAAGTATAAGCATAACCTGTTGTTTTACATTCTGAACGAGTTCTCCTGTCTGGAAAATATTTACATATCAGTTTTGGCCCCAATAACTTACCAGTTGAATAATTTGCTACATCAGAAGTTGTTTTGTGTGGTCTAGGAGAGAACAGACAACAAGGAGTCAGGATTCCTGGCTTCTGTTGTGAGCCAGATATCCTGTGTGACATTGTCACTTCATCTCCGTGTCTGTTTCTCTATCTGTAAAACAAGGATAACAATGCTTACCTCCCAAGTAGTATTGTGAAATTCAGTTAATTGATATTTGTAAAGTACTTTGAGATCTTCTTATGAAAGATGCTATAGAAGTGCAAAATGATTTTATTTTTTTTTTAGTTTGAGAGATCAATGTGCATTTGAGAGACTCAGTGCGGACAGATTAAAGTCATGTTTATAGACATACTAGCTAGTTGTGGTCAACTTTTGATGTTGGAAACAAAATAATTAGTGCAGTTGTCGATGAAGAAATTGGCGGTGGATTAGTAGTTAGCTTTTAAGTAGAAAGGCACTGGGGTCATAGAGTTTGGAGCAGGAGCTGAGTTTTCCTAAAGTTCAAGTGTGTTCAGATTTAGTTTTGATTTGGGCCTGTCCCTACACCAAAATGTTCATTCCTACTTTTTTATTAACCAGGCTTGTAAAACTGATGTGATGCATATGCCAGTGCAGCATCTGATTTTGCATGAGGCCTGGTGATTCAGTGTGAGCTTTTGGAAAGAGAGAACTCTCCAATATGCTGAGAGATGAACAGCCAGCTCAGATAATTTTAACAAACAAACATGATCTTTCTGACGCTCTGGAGATGGGTCTGACTCTGTGTGTTTATTTCTAATTCATGACAAAGCTAAGAATGATCCCTGATGAAGTACGTACCAACTGCAACCTTGGCTGCACTAACCTCTACAGTGTGGGGCAGATCATTTCCTCTTAACATATTTGTTATATGCTGGCCTCAGAAGAACTGTTTAGAGCATCTCTTTCTCTATTCATTATTCTTACTGCATTTCTTTGGGAAATGTTTACCTTGCTGGGTAATTCCAGAGCACTAAGGACCATGAACAACTGTGCATGCCAGGCCCATTGCCATCAATTAACATCGCTATTGATGTCAACAGAGGTTGCACGCAAGAATCAAGAGTTGTATACCTGGCCCTAGGGGGATGTATGCTCTTTGCTCAGGTGAAACTGGATGTCCTACAAGTTTTCTACCAGGAGATACATTAATAAGGAAGGTTTAGCTCCTTAACCTTTTTGTAGAAAAATGCTTCCTTTGTAACTGGAAGAAGTATCAGAAAAACGATGAAAGGGGAAAAAATAAGTAGGCTTAAATAGCATGGGTTTTAGAATACCCATCTAGTTAAAATCCAGGGACGGTACCAGTAGCTATCACTGAGCCTTGTTATTTGCTTTGTTTAAAAATGTTTATAAGTGTTCATTTTAAAAATGATAAATACAATGTAACTCTTATTTTCCTTGCTATGACAGGTTAATTCTTGGGCTGGCTACCAGAGAATGTTGTATGGGTGTGTGACTCAAAGGGCAGAAGGATTTAAACTTTTTAAGACCCAGATCACCCCCTTCCATGGGCTTTACAATGAGAGAGGATCTTAAGGGAAAGAAATATCCCTGATGATCCCTTCAGAGTAGTTGGTCCAGTTGGTCTATCCAGGGGCAACCCTACATGCTCTCCCTCCCCCCCATTCCCACATGGAATAGGTGACTGCTCCCACCCCTAAACCTGCTAGATTTCAACCAGGCCAGGAACCAGCTGTGCAGAGGCACCATACATCTGCCATTGCTCCAGACCTGTGGTTTCTCCCCACTGCCCTGACCCAGACAATACATCTCCATTCATGCTTCTCTACACTCCTTCTGGTTGTGGCAATTCCCAGGCCTCAGATCAGGGCTCCGGGGACAGGGGGGGAAATAATTCAGTAGAACCTCGATTTCACAAACATCAATCTTACGAACAACCATCTTATATGAACCACTTTTCACGGCCGGGAATAAAGAACCTCCGTAACAATAGTGATGTTGATGAAGAACACATTGACATCCCTTCACATTCCAATGGCTTCAGTGCCTTGGACTGAAGGACAAGAAGAAAGCCAAGCAGTCCACCACCCTCCTACTTATGCACCATACCTACTCTAATTTTAGATGTTCAATTTTATGAACTGTTCGATTTTCTGAATGCAGTTCCCAATTAGTTCATAAAATAGGAGTTCTACTTTCTAGCCATGGGTTGTATTTTTTTCCCCTGGGGAATCTCCACAAGGCCAAAGGGAGAGCAGTGCTCCCAATCTGCCCACTCTTTCTCCCAGCCTGCCCAGCCCCTTCCCTCTCTGCATGGACCCCAGACTTGTGGAGTGCCCTCTGTTGTAATGGTGCTGTGGAAACTGCTGTGCAACAAGTCTGATGTGCAGGAGAGGGGAGATCCATGCATGGATGTTCCCCTCTGTGTTCAGATACAGGGCGGGAGGAGGTGATTCATGCATATCAGAGTCTTGAGATAATGACGGAGACTATGAGAGTGTGACTGCTAATTTAGTGGGGCTTGCTGTTGGATGGTAGTGGTGACCTTCATTGCTGCAAATGTTGTACCATTACTCACCTTCTGATCTCTAGGTGTCTCATGTAGTCATACCCTCGTTTCTTCTGCAGATTCCCCTGGTGTTCCTCCCAGTGCCAATGCTCATCATCTTTTTAGAGGATTCAGCTTCATTGCATCCAGCTTGGTGCAGGAGCCTTCACAGCCAGATTTGCACAAAATCACAGTTCATCCAATTGTGCAGGTACTGACACTTTGTATTATACTTCACATTTGATGAGCAGATATATAGCCGCATAGTACATTTTAAACTACATCAGTCAATCAGATTATCCATCCCATGTCTATTTACATACAGCCTGCAGAAGGTGCAAAAAGAAAGATATTCCAAAGGCTTTTAGTTTTACGTTCAACTTTCCTATTTACTGGCATAAAGAAAATGTCAATCACACGATTTAATTACTGAAACAAAGTGCACTTCTAAATACCTGACTATGAGCTGGCTCATGAGCATACGAATGGCCATACTGGGTCAGACCAGTGGTCTGTCCGGATCAATATCCTGTCTTCCAAAAGTGACCGGTGCCAGATGCTTCAGAGGAAATAAACATAACAGGGAAATTTATCAAGTGATCCAATCCCTGTCATTGAGTCCCAGCTTCTGACAACCACAGAATCTGGTGCACATCCCTGACCATCTTGGTTAATAGCCATTGGTGGATTTATACTCCATGAACTTATATAATTCTTTTTAACCCTATTGTCGTTTTGGCCTTCACAACATCTCCTGGCAATGAGTTCAATAAGTTAACTGTGCATTCTGTGAAGACGTACCCTTCCTCGTGTTTTTTTTTTTTTTAAACCTGCTGCCTATTAATTTCATTGGGTGACCCCTGGTTCTTGTGTCATGTGATGGGGTAAATAACACTTCCTTATTCATTTTCTCCCCACCATTCATGATTTTATAGACCTCCATCATATCCTCCCCTTAGTTGTCTCTTTTCTAAGATGAACAGTCCCAATCTTTTTAATCTCTCTTTGTATGAAAGTTGTTCCATCCCCCTAATAATTTTTGTTGCCCTTCTCTGTACTGTGTCCAATGCTAATATATCTTTTTTGAGATGCATCTACCAGAATGGCACGCAGTATTCAAGATGTGGGCATACCATGGATTTATATAGTGGCATTATGATATTTTCTGTCCTATTTTCAGACTTATCTATTTATCCTTCACACAACACACAGTCAACCTGTGGAACTCATTGCCAGGGGATGTTGTGGAGGCCAAAACTATAATGGGATTCAAAAAAGAATTAGATAAGTTCATAGAGGATACGTCCGTCAATGGCTATTAGCCAAGTTGGTCAGGGATGCAACCCCATGCTCTGGGTGTCCTAGCCACTGACTGCCAGAAGCTGGGAGTGGACAACAGAGGATGGGTCACTCGGGGTGGCAGGTTTGTATAATTTTTCATGGTGCCCAGAACAGGTCCAAGTCCCCCCGCCCCACATGCCTTTTAAGGCGGCAAAAAACTTGGAGCTGGCCCTGTCTCCTTGGCTTTTTTGGGAATGGCAAAGAGAGTATCAGCTGTGTGTGAGGACTGTTTCTGCCCACTTACCCATCAGTGCAGATTTGCACGCAAACTAAAAGAACTCCACACACTTGAGTGAATAGCACTGCGACCACATGAGCATTGCAGTCTTGCACACAAGGACTTTTCTGATGCACTTCATGAGGAGTTCCCCTGCTTATGGTATCAGCTTTCATCCCGCTAATATTCTGTGTGATACAATGCAGTATAATTTTTATATAGCTTGTTTTGTACAATAGTAGCACAGAACACTTCACAGGCAATTACTGAGGCTGGCCAGAAAACAAGAATTCCATTTTGAAAAAAATTTTGAGGATTCAGCATTAGGCTTCATTTCTCATTGGGCCAAAAATGAGACTTCAAAATTCTCTGTGAAAAACAAGACAGACAGACAGACACAACTCCCAGAATAGCTAATATCTCAGTGGTTAGGGCACTCACTTGGCACGTGGGGGACCTAGAGTCAAGTCTCTCTACCTTAACCACTGTCCTATTGAGTCAGTCTCTCAATCTCTCCTGTTGGAGCTGTTCCACTTTGTATAAATACTTAAATATTCATTGGGCCAGAGAGAGAGTGTGATTAATTTCTAATGGGAATTGGATCTCCAAATCCCAAATATGGCTAAAACCATCTCAGCCATTGTTTCTAGACATACAGTTGTAGTTTACTGAGGAAGAACACCAATAAGGAAGGAGACACATTTATTTAGAAAGTGGCCACAACTTCATTGAACTGAACTTAAATAATTTCTAAGGACAATGGATCCTTGGTAGATGTTTGGAGAGGGTGAGCTCAGCAGTCCCTTTATTGTCACTGGCCAGGATTCTTCTGTTTTTATGGTTCCATGATGCTTGTCTTTTGATTTCCCTTGTTTTGTCTTTCTCTACAGCAGTTACATGGGAACAATATTCATTTTACAGATGGATATGAGATCAAGGAGGACATAGGTGTTGGCTCCTATTCAGTATGCAAGAGGTGTGTGCATAAAGTAACAGAAGCAGAGTTTGCAGTGAAGGTAAGAAATCATCCTGGCAGATGCAAATATATGGTCAAGGCTGCTCCATTACATTGGGCATCAATCTGGCCACTGACTCATTTGTTTTTTTTTAGAAGGATTAGATGTTGACCTTTAAGGTTCATCCTTCTGATTTAACCTCAGCAAATGAAATTGCAGAAGGAAAGGACCTTTCATTCTCATACAGAATATCAATTCAGTCAGGTTTAGATTATTGTTAATCATTTCAGCCACTCTCCCTGCTACCTAGATAATAGATTTGAACAGGATCTAAATTGAAATAGCCCCCAAATGAAGAAAAAAATGTTGTGAAGTATACCCCTTATAAATGCAAACCACCTTTGTTTCTCATTCTCCAGAGTGTATTAAATTATGACACTTCCTTAGTATAATTAGAGATGTTTGGGAAAAGAAATATGCTGCACTATCATAGCCACCTATGATTAATCAGATTCCCTGCCCCTTCTGTCTCATTGGCATTCAGACACACTACCAATGCACGAAGGAGACCAGTGGAGAGATCCAACAGAGAATTAAAATACTAATTAAATAGACTTCAGTTAGACATGAAAGAAAAAGCAAAGGACTTTACACTTGGTAGAGTAATACTGTGAAAACCAAGTCACAGTGCACAGCTGCAGCAAAGAAAGCCAGCAAGTTGCAAGGGTGTATAAAAAGGGAATTATTTTCTAATAGGAAAGAATGGTCTCTCTGTATAATTCTTTGGTAAGGTCATACCTGGGAGCATTAAGTTGCAGCATCTGCTGCCTGTATTAAATAAAGGATATGCAGGTATTAGAGAGAGCAGAGGATGAAACCCACAGGACGGGCTGATGGTCTGGAGGGTTTGTCTTTGGAGGAAAAGTTCCAAACATTAAACATGTTTAGCATCCTGAAGAAAAATAGATACTAACAAAAAAGCTCATGTGTCAGAGAAGTAGACAATGACATGTTCTTTCAGCAAGAAAAGGGGATAATGCATGGTCGTGATTTGAAGCTGTAATCAATGGGACTATTTCCAGAGAGATCTGAGTCCTCAGCGTGACTTAGGGTAGTAGAATCAGGCCCAATGATCCTATATTATCTAGTGGAACCTGGTGCATAAATAAACATAAGGTAAAGGTGGATATTTACTTGAAATCAAATTGTGGTATGTAGTTGAGTATGTTTGCTGAACTTGCAGTATATGAGGGACGTCAGCAAATTACCTGTCTTCTGAATATTTTCCTTTTGTAACTTTCAAAATGGATTTGAAACTTAGTTTTGTTATAAATTGTGTTTTTGCAGGTGGGATAGGGAGATGAGAGTTTCATGATAATTGAGTTTGTTGATGTCCATGTTGAGGTAGCAGTTGATTAAGTACACAACCACATGCTGAAAAGGAGCGTGGACTTCTGTGTGAACTTGTGAGGTTTTCCATTTAAAGTGAATGGAGAAGTTACAATTTTCCAGTGTCCACTGTTCTTGTCAACAGATGGTGCTGGGTTGTAGTAGGAATAATTTTACTTTAATGAAATTACATCTGTGCCTGCACAGAAACATGTTTTGAACCAAAAATGTATTTAATATTTTCTTAGTGTTAAATATTTTGATATCTTTGGTAGTAAGCATGAAAACAAAGCTCAAAGGGCTAGGTGCCTTTAGGTACTACTAAGATCCTCAAAACCCCTGCTCAGCTGCCACTTAACTCTGTAGGTGCCTGAAGTTCCTTGGCAACTACATTTCCATGTTAAAGTCCCCTAGGGACCTATTTCTGCCAGCGAGCATACACACAGCCACATTAATCTAGGTGCTCGGATGTCTATTAGATGCCTAAGTCCCATTGGGTTCCTCAAATTAGGCATTTCCCCCACCCTATGGGGCCCAAATCTGGGAGGTGTGCACAGAGCACACTTAACCCACACAAAAAGGCCAGAGGAGGTGATGGCAGTGTCCCCCTTATAGTAGCCCAGACATAGGAAACACCCAAGACATAATCAGGTTCAGTTCTCTCCTCTGCCCGATGTGGAGCAGGGATTTGAACCCTCTCAAGAGAGTGCCTTGACCTGCAGGATGTTCTGGGGTAGGCCTCACTCCTGTTGAAGTGGTTCCATTTTGTGTAAATAATTAAATGGTCCTTGGAGCGGGAGGATTGGAACCTCCAGTGAGTGCCCCAACCACCAGGCTAGAGAGTCATTCTCACTCTTTCTCTAGCCCAGTGTTAGCACTTAAGAGAATATTCCCCCACAGGACAGTGGTATCAGCAGCAAAGGAGCTAGGAACATGACTTTGTGGAATCACTGCAGGAAGATATGAATAATGTCACTGAGTGAATAATCTCTTCCAATTGCCCAGAGGACACAACACACCATGCTGCACAGTCCCTGTTGGGATTTATTTACTATTTCTGTGTCGGAAAATAGATTCTCCATAAATTGAGTCAGAGTACTGAGACAGAGTAACTCAGAGCTGCAGCCAGAAAAGCCACCCAATAAAAGGAACCCTCCCTAATCCAGAAACAGTATGTTTGTTAAAATGTATGGCATTTCTCCCCTTTTTCCCACTATTGTTCATCTGCCTTCTCTGTCCACATCATGCAACTAGCTGGGGCCATATTTATAAAGGTATTTAGGCACCTAAAGATACAAAGAGGAGCCTAGAGGGATTTTTTAAAGCACCTAAGCAGTTTAGGCACCTAATTCTCATTGGCTTTACATAGGCATTAGGCACCTAACTCACTTAGGTGAGCTGTGTTTGTCTATGCGGGGGGGTTGTCATGCACTAACTTTAGTTTGTCCACATTAAAATGACCTGCGTCTACATGACACAATTCTTAGAGTATTAACTAAATTACAATTAGACGTAGGTCTTGCCTGGCAAGCTGGGATGTGACTCTGCTGTGCATTAGCTGTCCATGTGCACCCTGCTGCTGTGCACTAAGAATTCCCTAAAGTGCGATCCACTCCCGTTTTAAAGCAGGGTAGCAGAAAGCACACTAACAAACTCTCAGTGCGCATCAGCAGGGTCCATATGGGCATTAAGTGCAGGTTAGTGTGAGATAGATTTACACCCCTGCTTGCCACAAACTAAATGTTCATGTAGGCAAGCCCAAAAGCTCCTGGTTGCCTAATTCACTTATAAAAATGAGCGTTACGTGCTTTTGAAATTTTTCCCTTGGGTCTCTTTTCCACCTCACTTCCAAGTTACAGAGAATTCAACTAAAATGGTTGCTAGAGGTTTATTGTTTGGTGTGCAGTTTTGCGATATAAATACAGGTAATGTCACTCACTTCCCCGAGATCCCTGGGAAGACACAAGGAAAGGAATTGGAAAAATGATCATTATACAGATCTCTGCTCTGGTTCAGAGCCTTCAAATATTGACGTGTTTGCAAAGGCAGGTATAGCAGATGTCTTGGGATTTTAAACAGCAAAGGGGACTGGTTTTGTCGAGCATGTTTGCAAGGATTATACTGGTGTCATTGTACCAGTGGTGTCAAAGAGTAAATGAAAATCAGGTCAATCTATTTAAGTTATCTCAGTATTAAGAGAAAGTAAGTCACTTAAGTAAAAGGAAAACGCTTCAGCAAGTGTGTGTGTGTCTGGGGAGGATATTGTACCAAAGAAAAAAACAATTGATATGAAATCCCCAAAACAGATCGAGAGCTTTGTTTCAAAGAAGAAAGGCAACAGCTTTGCTACAACAAGGGAGTAGCAAATCAGACACTGGAAAACATTCCAGAGACTTGATACAAGTCAGCACTCTTGGAGAAAAGTTTTCTTTGTTTAAATACTGTTGCTGATTTTCAGCTTTGATCCCTATATGCAAATAGCAATGAAGATATGGGGCTAGATTCTCAGATGTGTCCATTTTCCACTGGCCAGAGCTGAAGTGAGACTGCAGAGGAGCTGGCTACCTCTCTCTGATTCTAGGGCGTGCTCTAAACTACATGGGTTGGTTCTAGCCCACAGGGGCTGTTACTCTAGTAGAGAATGGCCAAAGCAGAGTAGTGCTCCAGCCATGATCCCGTCTGCCCCAACATGCCACCTTCACCAGAGGCTGCAGATGTGAATGGTACAGGAGCCAGCTACATCAACTCCATGCCAGCTGTGGACTCTCCCATGCTGAAGGAATCTCCAGCTAGTAAGATCTGATGGCTTTCTGGCCCCTTCCTACTACTGGAGCCAGCCAGAGTGACTGGATCATGGGAGAGAATCTGGCCAAAAAAGCATAAAGTACAGATGGGCACAAATGAACACCCGAGACCTGAACACCCCAACACCATGAGGAAGTTGGATCTGGAAACTGCATCTGAATGTAATGACTTTATCCTATCTCTATAATGTGCCAAGCCAACACCCTGGCTCCAAACACTCCCCAGCTTTGAGCAGAGTCAAATTTTTGATATAGAGGAAAATTTTACAGCATGGGCCCCTCGCTAGGATAAAATGACATTTACTTTTAGATTATAACGCTCATAATTAGTAAGCATTCTGTGGATGCATCCACCCCTGTATGTTTTGATATAGGCTGATTTGGGAGAAAGGTGCATTTTATGTAAGCTGTACAGATACAAAACAAATGGAGAAGCAGTGTCTACAAGTACAAATGGAAAGGCAGTGTCTACAAGCCATCAACAGAGAGAAGTTGATAACCCATCAGAGTGACGGGCTATTATTGCAGGGCCTGTGTAATCAGTCCCCCAAAATACATGTATTTGTGTGCTAGTGACCCTGAGTGAAGTGGTCTAGCGAAGAAAGCCCAAGTGGTATATATCATAATTAACCTTCGCTTCTCTTCTCCTTTCCATTAATGTTCATAGTTGTAATTTGCTGGTTTTCAGATGCTTGACCTAAGTAGACATGAAAGCATATTAGTCTGAAGGCTAGAGAGTACTCAATAAAATGTAGCTCACTGCACAATATTCTCCTCATAACCTGCAGCTATATCAGGAGTTTATTACTAAGTGCAGAAAGCACTGAATAACTACCAAGATAAATTTAGCCTTCCAACACTGTCTGG